GATTACAGTCCACACAACCTGGCAGGACAAAGTACAGGGTTTCTGAAACTGCCACTTTTACAGGAGCTTGCCACATCTTTCTTCTCTGGAGCAGCTGGTGGGTTCCATCTGCCCAAATTCTTCACATGGATGTGCCTCCATTGAGGTACTAGGGGGCCTGACATCAACATTTTGGAGTGGAAATGCCTTTCAGGATGTCACACAAACGTCAGAACTCGACCTGCAGAGGGTAAAGGGGAGAGTCTCTTTCTTTTTTATCTAGTCCAGAGAACTTGGTCTGGTTTTCACACGGCCGACACTCAGCTGGGCAATTTTTCAGTGAACTGATCACTTGAACTATGCCGCTTAGTCACAGTGACCAGCACACAGGGGGAGTCAAAGGCTGCTGACATGGAGTAGAAGGAATAAACTGGGCTTTGACACAGTACCTGGGCTCAAGGCCCTTCACCGCTAACTCCAGGCGCCTGTGACCTTGGTTATGGTCAATAAAACAAACACTCAGGCTCATTGGCAGGGTACTGGAACCGACTCAAAGCTGACCCTCCTTTGGGTCTCAGGCTGTAAATACCCCAGGCGGAGGTGCCCATCTCAGGGACTGTAGCGCAGCTTCTTGCCACTAGGCCACCAGAGCTCCCTATGAGGTCCCATCTCAGACAGAGCCTCTGTAGACTGGGATTCGCAGCACAACTCTCCTTGAACCAAGCCAGCAGAGAGTTTCACTATTTGGGGAGTCAAACCAGGAGAGTAGTACCTTTCTCCTTTTGGGGAGGATGCACACCGTTATAACTGTAAAGTTGTCTACTTGATATTTCACAGTCTTCTTGTTGTTAGGTTCTGTTGAATCTGACTCAGTGACCCTGTGAACAACACTTCTGTCCTATCCCGTGTATCATCGTCATTATATTTCAGACATACTTAGCCCACTGTCGCGGGCACTGTGTCAAGCCATCGGGTGGAGGGTCTTTCACTGACCCTCCCTTTCCAAGCTTGATGTCCCTCTCCAAGGAACAGCTTCTCTTAACAACATACCCAAAGTAAATGAGGTGAAGCTTTGTCATCTTTGCCTCCAAGGAGCACTCTGGCTGTACGTTCTCCTCTGTTTATTCTCTCGGCAGTCCATGGAGTAGTCAGGACTGTTCTCCAAAACCACAACTCAAATGTGTCACTTCTTCTGTCATCTTTATTCATTGTCTGGCTGTCAGGCGTATAGCGAGTGATTGGAAAGCTCACAGCCCGAATCACACCTTAGTCCTCAAACTGACATCGTTGCTCCTCAGTCATTTGGAGAAGTTCTTGGCTAAAGACTTTCCCTGTTTAATGTGTGCCCTGATCTCCTGTGCGCTGGTACCAAGTGTGTTGAGTATGGATTCAAGTAAGATGAAGCCACTGACAGTTTCAACCTTTTCTCCATCTATCCTATTTTTGCCTATATGTTTAGTGGTGAAAATTTTTGTTTTCTTGATGTTGAGATATAATCATGTTGAAGGCTACAATCTTTTACAGAGAGTATTTCAAGTCCTCCTCATTTTCAGCGAGCCAATTGTGTCATCTGCATAACGCAGGTTGTTGATGGGTCTTCCTCCATTCTTGTCACATTCTTCTTTTCAGAGTCCAGTTTCTTGAATGATTTACTTAGCCCACCGATTGGATAGACATGGAAAGAGGATACAACCTTGAGGCGCCCTTTCCTGATTCCAGACCACGCTGTGTTCCTTTGTTCTGTTCAGACAACAGTCTCTTGGTCTAGGTGTAGGATTCGCATGGGCGCTGTTAGTGTTCTGGGATTCCTACTCTTCGCAATGTCAGCCATAACTAGCAACGTAGTGCTGTAGCTGCCCAACAGACAAGGCCATTGTTACAGAGGCATCAAGCTGAGTTAGACTCCTGGGAACTCTGTGAGACAGAGCAGAAGTCCCACAGGATTTCCAAAGCTGTAAGGGGAGCTCTGGTGGCCTAGTGGCAAGGAGCTGCAACTACAATCTCAGAGGCAAACGGTTCGAATCCACCAGATGCTCTGCCGGGTAAGGAGAGACAATCTCCTCCTGTACCAGTCAGATCTGATTTGACGGTACACGCACACAAAAATAATAAAATAAAATTAAAAAAAACAAAACACCACAAAGCTGCAATCTTACTGGAGCAGAACACCAGGCCTTTCTCTCACGGAGCCACTAATGAGTTTGAACCTTCACTCTTTCACTTAGTAACAGAGCAATCAATTCTTAATGATAACTCAGCTCCCTTACACAGGTGACAGACACCTGATGTTGGACTTGAGATTGGACACCTACTGTGTGCATAGCCAGCTGTGCTGTCTGGCACAGGGGTTCTGTTTGCATCACTTTGGAAGCCTTCTTTTCTCAGGATGATCTGCAATCAAGTCTCTCCTGGATCCCAAAAGGTTAAGAAATCTTCATGTTAAAAAATCTTTTCCTGACTGACATTAGGGTTGAGGGAAGACAGAAAAGGAGGGGATGAATGATGTAGACTGCATTGAAACAGATGAGGGAGAGATCTGTTTAAAAGGGACATATGAATGGGTATTCTTGTCATTACAGAAATCCGGAGTGTAGGCTGCACAGTAGAGTGGACTTGGGGGGAGGGACTGCATAACAATGAAAGAGTTTTTCTTTTTCTTTTCAAGGAGAAGAGTGAATTGGGGGGGAGGAGTGGGCAGGGAGAAAAGTGCAACAATGAATGACTGGAAACCCTAAGTCTCTGTAAACTTTCATTAAAATTAATGAAAAAAAAATTTTCCCCGCCTTCAATGTTAACGCAGAAACCTCATCGAAGGTGTTTTCTTCCCTCAACAGCGTTCTCCTCACAGGTTCAGGCTGCCATTTGGGGGACGGGGTTGGGGGAAAGTTTTATCATTTGCTTTACTGGAAAATGAACACTCCTTAAATAGTATTCTAATGAAGCGAGCAAAGAAAAAAAAATATTAGCAGAGCTGTCTCCAGGGGAGGAGTCTTTGACTATTCAAACCTGGAAGAAGTGAAGGGTTTTATTTGTGGAAATTGGGGCATCTGATGCTATCTACGTAGAGACGTAGGATCCTCCCTCCCGTAACCACCAACACTTCCACGCGCACCAAAATATTTAATAGACTAGAATGCAGAGAATGCATTAATATTTCACAGTATAGGTAACCTGCCAAGTTCAGGGGGAGTCCTTCATGTTGTCCTGTAAATGTACAGAATGATTGTGTCTCTTCTCAATGTGTGCACTGCTCAAAACACATGCAGTTGATTCAAAACCGACTCAGAGCTGACCCCCTAGCAGGTTTTCAGAGGCTGTAAATTACACAAGGGGAGTTTGCTCATCTTTCTCCCTTGGAGCAGTTGGTGGATCTGAACCACTAGCGTCTGGGTTGGCAGCACAACTCCCTATCCACAAGGTCATCAGAGCTCCCTGGTTTTTTTTTTTTGCTAGGTGCCGTCAAGTGGAGTATGATTCATAGTGACCCAATGAACAAAACACCTGAACCCTGTTCTGTCCTGTGCCATCCTCACACTTCCTGACACACAAGAGTCCATTGTGGCGGTCACTGCATCAATCCACCTGGTTAAGGGTCTTCCACTCCTTCACTGACCCTCCACCCTTCCCAACATCATGTCCTTCTCCAAGGAAGACCCTCCTAGCAACACGACCTAAGTATGCGAGGTGAAGCCTCATCATTCTTGTCCCCAAAGACCACTCTGCCTGCATCCTGTCCAAGACATATTTGTTCTTTTGGCCGTCCATGGGATGTTCCAACACCACAGCTCAAAGGCATCAAACAATTCTTCTTCTGTAATCCCAATTCACTGTCCAGCTCTCACATGCATAGCAAGTGATCAGAAATACTATGGCCTGAGTTAGATGCACCACAGTCTTCAAACTGTGATTATTATTCCTCAATAATTTGTAGAGGTCCCTAACTGCAGATTTTCCCAGTGCAATGCTTCTTATTTCCTGACTATTGGTTCTAAGTGTGTCGATTGTAGATCCAAGCAAGATCAAGTTTTTCACAGATTGAATTTCCTCTCCATCCATCATGATGTTGCTTATCGGTCCAGTGGTAAGAATCTTTGTTTTCCTGACATTGAGATGCAATCTATACTGAAGGCTGCATCCCTTGATCTTCTGCAACAAGTATTTCAAGTCCTCCTCACTTTCAGCAAGCAAGGTTGTGTCATCTGCATAATTCAGGTTATTGATGAGTCTTCCTCCAATCCTGATAACACATTCCTCTTCATAGAGTCCAGCTTCTTGAATAATTTGCTTAGCATTCATATTGAATAGCTATGGAGAAAGAACACAACCTTTACACACTCCCTTCTTAATCTTAAACCATGCAGTGTTTCCTTGCTCTGTTCACACAACAGTCTTCTAGTCCAGGTATAGCTTTCACATGAGCACAATTAAGCGTTCTGGGACTCCCATTCCTCTCAATGCCAGCCACAACATGTTATGATCCACACAGTCAAATGCCTTTGGATAGTCAATAAAGCAAGCACAAACATTCTTCTGGGATTCTTTAGCCAGGATCCACCTGACATCAGCAATGATGTCCCTGGTGCCACAGCCTCTTCTAAATCCTGCTTGACCTTCTGGCAGTTCCCTATCTATGTAGTGTTCCAGTAATTTTTGAATGATCTTCAGCAGTATTTTCCTTGCATGTGACATTAATATAGTTTTGATAGTTTCCACATTCAGTTGTACCACCTTTCTTGGGAATGCAAAGATATGGACTTCTTCCAATCCAACGGCCAGAGCTCCCTATTCCTGCACAATTTGATCCATAACTTAATGATAGATGGGCAGACAGCAACACGTTCCAGTTGTGCATTAGCTACTCAAGCTGTATGACCATGCTTCTTAACCTCTCCAGCCTCTGTGCTCTCATCTGTGAAATGGGATTAGAACCCCTACCTGGTAGGACTGTGAAGAGAGGCCTGGAAATCTACTTCTGAAATTCAGTCAGTGAAAACCCTGTGGATCCCAAGAGAATGATCGACATGCGGGAGGTGCAGGACTGGGCAGCGAGTCGTGCTGTGACCTGCGTGAGCCAGGGGTCAATCTATCGAGAGTTTACGCCAACAGTGCATATGGAGGTGACGAGCATGGTGGTGAGCTCTGAGCATGCAAAGATAGCTGTGATGAGTTCACAGACAAGTGGGGGGGGGGGACAAGCAGACACTGGAGGCAAAGACATAGGGACAGGTGTCACAAACCCTCTACCAGCACCAGGTGCTATGGATTCCATCATCTAAACAGCTGGGGACCCATCTCAATCTCCCGGCTCTCATCTCATCCCCGTTCACCTATGTTGCTGCAACCATGAGGGTCTCTGACCCCTTGCCTCTTACCTGGGATCCCCTCTGCACATCACGCCATGATCTGACCCGTTTACAACCTCTAAAGGCACAGCCACTGTGACCATGTCCACGGCTCTGGTTCAGGCCACGACAGCTGGGCCCCTGATGAGCACTTTGACCCGGCATGGAAGCAGGGCCAGCCCACAGCGGCACCCAACCAGTGGTGTGTCTGGGTTTTGCTCTTGTTGTGTTGTGTTGTGGGTTTTTTTCCCCCTTCTTTCTTTCTTTAAGGTTAACTCTCTTTGACAGAGGCTTGATTTTATTTTTTTAATGAAATTTTTATTTTATGTTAGTTTACTTACAAAGTTCATGTGCATTGTTTTTCACAGCAGCTTTTCCCCATTTCCTTTATCCACCCCTCCCTCCACCCATCAAATTGTGCCACTCTGTGCTCAGTCCCTGCCCATGCTCAACCCTCTGCTCCCACCCTCCCCCCCCTTAGATCCTCATACACATTTTCCTAGTTATTGTTCTATTTCTATAATAATGGTCTTATACAATATTTGTCCTTATGGGACTGAGTTAGCTCACTTAGCATAATGCTCTCCAAGTTAGGTAGAAATTTTCAAAATCATTGCCCCAAGCAGTGCTTTCTGAATGACTAAATGGGGCCAGGGGTCTTCATTCTCCAGTGCCACCTTGTGACATCACAATGCAGGTCCCTGCCCAGCAGATGTTCTAATATAGTTGAACCATGATCCCTGGTTTGTTTACCTGGGCTCTAAACTCTTACAAAAAAGGGGTAAACCTCAAAGCCAACAAACCATATAATAGTCAGATGGAACAGCTCCTCACGCTGACAGAGGAGAACTCTGCTTCACGGGGTTGTCAGAAGTTGGTTTGGGGAAAGTCGATCACCTGCTTTCCTCTGGGGAACATCTAGGTGGATTTGAATGGCCTTCTCCAAATTATTTTGAGCAATGATGCACATTTGAGGACTAAGGTGCACCTGATTTAGGCCATGGTCTTTCAATGACTTGCTAGGTCCCTGAGAGCTGGACAATGAATGACAGAAGACTTAATGCCTGTACTGTGGTGTTGGAGAAAAGTACCGAATACCCCCTAGACTGCTAAAGGAACAAATGTATGTCTTGGAGAAGGTGCCCCCAGAGTGCTTGCTGGAGACAAGGATGACAAAGCTTCATCTCACATACTTCGGGCATGTTGCTAGGAGAGGGTATTGCTTGGAGAGGGACATCAGGCTTGGAAAGGTGAAGGGACAGCAAAGGAGAAGACCGTCAATGAAATGGATTGACATGGTGACTGCAGCAGTGGGCTCACGTATGTTAGACATCGTGAGTATGGCCCAGGATAGGACAGGCTTTAGATCAGTGGTTTGAAGGGTCACTATGAGTTGTACTTGACCCAACAGCACCTAACAACAACCACCACCACCTTTCAGTTAGCAGCTGAGTGTGTTAACTCTGAGAACAAGTCTGGGTAGACTTAAGTCTAGAATGGATTTTATATGCCAGTGAGTGTTGTGCCTTTATCTGTGTGAAGACCTTACCATGTTACAGAAGCATGACAACAGGTGGGGTGGATAGGACCCCAAACACCACTAGACAAGGATCGTCAAACGCTGGGCGTATCTGGGAGGGTCTGCTGGGCCCCTTTCCTTTCCCAGAGTCAATCTGAGCTGCCCAGATGCACACCCCCTGCCACTACCATCTGTATTTTTAGCTCTAAGCCGCCAGTCCCCCCAGGAGGGGAAAGTATGAGGGAGGGCTCACTCTTTAGAGTCATTATGTGGGGAGTGGTGGTGGACTTGATGGCTTTGGGTCCAAAGGATCCAACTCTCAGATGTCAGTTGTAAACAATGACCAGGACTCTAGCAGAGTTAGGAAACTTCCAGAAAATCCATTTCTGGGTACTCCCGGGAAGCCAGGCTTTCAAACGGAGCACGCCTTTCCCCAAAGAACATGCAAAAGAAAAAGAGCACTGTTGAGGCCACTGGAGGATGGACAGCAAGTGCCCGTGGGGCCGCCGCCCTCTCTCGGGCCAGAACGCAGCCCTGGAGTCACAGAGGAAGGGAAGCATCTCAGTGCCTGTCTGGTGCCCAGTGGCACTCGCCTGCCCCTTGTGAACCCACAGATGCGCTTTGACTGCTTTCCCAGAAGTGGGGCCCAGGACACTTGGGTCAACTGTCACTTGAATCCCTGCCTCTTACAATGACAATCATTCATTCTCTCATCTGTTCATCCAACACTGTGACCATTCTCTGTGCCAGGCACCGTGCTGAGTGGTGTGGAGAGGGGGGGCTGGGGCACAAGCTTTGTAGCCCTTCATGGGTAATCAGGGGGGACCACCAAGCAAACACATTATAACACAGTGTGGAAACAGCTGGGATGACACGGGTCATGGTGTTACGTGATAGGACTGATATTGTGGGAACTGGACACAAAGGGGCACTGAGTTGGGTGCCAGAGAAGGTTCTCTGGAGTGGGCGTAAGTGAGCAGAAGTAAAACAAGTAAAGGAGACATGGTGTGCTGGGGACAGGGAAGGACATCGCAAACGGGACAGATGAGCAAAGTCCTGGCAGTGACTGTGAGGCAGCTGGGTCCTGCAGCATCGAAGCAGCTGATCAGGACCGAAATAGAAGATCCTGGATGGAGAGGAAGAGAGGGAGAAGGCCGAACAAAATTCAAAATCATAAAAAACAACCAGACTCACTGCTCTGAGAGAAACTGGTGGAGCCTCTGAGCCTTTAGACACGCTTCAAAGCCTCAACTGAACCTACCTCTGGTTAACTTTCAGTCACACAACAGACAGACATGGAGAGAAACCGTATCCTCAGTTCCATCAGCCACCAGAGACCAAAAGGGCAGCCTGTGCCCCAAAACAAAGCTCAGAAGTCCAGAGAGGTGGGAAAGAAGGGTGAGAGGAAACAGGAACCTCACCGAGGAAGCAGGAAGAGTGCTGTTATATTGAACAAACTGCACATAAACTGTTGAATGGGAAACAGATTTGCTCAGAAAATTTTCACTCAGATGACAATTTAAAAATGGAAAAGAGAAAGTAAGTTGAAGGAGGCCTTATGCATGAGGAGGTGGCCAAGGGGCAGGTCACGGAATATTCGATGTGCCACGCAGAGAACCTGGAGGCACGAGGAGCGAGGCCGGGGTGTTCGTTCTGTGACCATTCTAGGACAATCAGGGATGGTCTCACACTCAGTGTAGGGTACACACTGAAAAGCCCCTAAAGTCCTTTCCACTTCAGTGCAGAAAAAAGTTCCTGAGGCGAGAGGTGGCCAGCATGTGCTGAAACTTTGAGTTCAATCGATGCTGAGTGGGGCCCCTCACTCCCAAAGCGCATCATATTATCTGTGCAGCATTTCCCAAAGGAAAAGGCCATCAAGGGACTAGGCCTCTCTGAACAGTGAGAACGACCCTGTGTCCACAGCCAGCAGCATGGGCCTTTCCCACCTCTTTTCCACCTGTGTTAGTGGAGAAGGAAGCTCTTGGTCCTTTGCTCTGGAGCGGGGAAAAATATATATGATACTTGGCTCCACTTCACCCCCAGAATTACAGAGAAGCTGAAATGTAAACGCTAGGAGCAGCCTAGGGGAGGGGACAGCATGAAGGGCTGCCTGGGACTCCCACCAGCTCTATAGGATGAAGACAAATGGACTGCTCCCCATGGTGCCTGAACCTCAGCTGGGGAGAGTGGACTCCACGTGTACTCACAGGAGTGAGATGCACCCAGCGGTGCCCTCACGCCCCTTGAGGCCTGGTTAGACTCCCAGGAGCCCCATGGCACCACAAGTCCCCACTCTAGATTTCGGGAGGAGGAGACCAGGGTGGGCTGCGTACTCATTTTTAATGGCTGGTTTTTCAGAAGTAAATCTCCAGGCCTTTCTTCCAAAGGCCCCTCTCTGTGTGGACTTGACCTTCCAACCTTTGGTGGACTGCTGTGCTCCTGAACGCTTTGTATCCTCCACTAACTACCTTCAAAGCCTCAGACTCTCACTGCTGTAGCTTCCGGTTTGTAGCTGACCCACCAGCAGAATTTGAGAGGCTGTCCATTGTACAGGAGGAGACGGCCCATCTGTCTCTGCCGGAGTCCGATGGCGGAGTCAAACTGTTAGATTCAACGCAACCTTAGCAGTTCAGGGGTTTGGAGGGCGACTCCCTACAGCCTAGGCCGCCACAGCTCCATCCATGCACAGTTCCCTCACAGCGGGTTTCTCCTTTCTGTACCCCCTTTGGCCTTGTTTTTCCTTGTTTATGGGCTCTTCTCCCCTCTGCCACGGCCAACATACAGACTCAGTGCTCTTACTTATTCCTCCTCAAGGATACGGGGTCAGACCGGGCACCCCTGGGCTTCAGAATTACATCTGCCTGAAAACGCCCCTGGGGTGGGGCTGTTGAAACTTTCCTCTCACATACCTTGGACATGTTGTTAGGTGGGGCCAGTCCCTGGGAATGATCTGAAGCTGGGAGACGTTAAGAGTCAGAGAAAGAAACGGATTTCCAAATGACTCCACAACGAAGTGGGGCATGGCCGACATGGCACAGGACGGAGCAGGGTTCAGATCCGTAGCTGTTCATAAGGTTATTAAGAGTGGAAGAAGTCAAGGAGGGGTACCCAAAGTGCTCCGCCCAATTTCTCAGTATTTCAGTCCCAGGAACAGACCAGGCCCAGCCAGGCCCATAGGTTCAAAGGCTCAGGTGACCTGCCCGCTGGGTTTCTCCTGGAATGAGGACATATTCTGGAATGAGCTTTTCTGTGTGGCTCTAGGCGTCCTAGAAAGGGAAGGAGCACAGCTGGGGGTTGGGGCGGAGCGCTGGTAACTCATTCCTGCACCCAGGGCAAATTCCGCTGCTTTCTTCCTGTGCAAAATCAATAAAGAACTATTTGTCAGGCCTGAATCTTGGGCTTTCAAAAAAGATAAGATCCAGGAGTACCAAGAGTTAACGGAAACAGTGTGTGTGTGGGGGGGGGGGGGGGAGTGGTGGGGGGGAGGGAGCCTAAACCAGAGAGTCCCAACTTGGGTTCCAGAAGGGCCACTTGGAGACAGTAGCCAGGGCACCGCGGGGTTTCCCAGGCTGGGCTCAGGCTGTTCCTGGCGCCTCCTCCCCTTCCCCCAACCTGGGGTCACTTTTTTGTAGGGAATCTCCCCTGTTAATGTCCCCAATATCAAAACCCTGGAAAGACCCCTTTTTACCCACAGATCCCCACTTCGGAGGTAGAAGAGAGACTCCCCCAACTCTATTTCCACTTGGACCTACCCCCTAAGTCAGGTTCTCACCGCTCTCCAGGTACCCCCCCCCGGGATCATCATGGGGTGCAGCTTGGGTCCCTCCCTTCATCAGGGCCAGAGGGTCCCCGGGAGAAGCCTGGGCGGGAGAGCGGTCAAGCGCGGGCCCAACAGGGCAGGGCGGAAGGAGACCAGGTCCTGAAGTCGCCGGGCTCGCCCCCGGCTTGCGTCACGCAGCCCACCGCCCCTGAGACATCACAATCTGGGGGCCGAGACCCTGCGACCCAATCACCGCCTTTTTGCAACCAAACAATCCAACCCACAAACACCAGGAGCTGGG